ACAATAGAGACGTGTTCTTCCATTCAATTTCAAGCAGTTTAATTAAAGAGGACTCGTGTCATCTTTTGCAACAAGTAGTTTACGGTTCTTTTCTGACGCATGTTCTAATGTTAAATATTCAAATAATGTGAACTATATAGTGATGGTGAAAATAATGGTTGTTCCTTTCTGATGAGCCTGAGTCTAAATGATGAGCAGCTGGCAACAGATGAGCTGGTTTGTACTGTACCTTTGCGCCGCGACGTTCGCATCCACAACCCCGACATTACGCACCCACGACCGGACCGGATCCATCTCCTCTCCAAGACTTCGCTCTTTTAATCCGCTCACTTCTCGTATCAGATGCTCCTGAATCCCGAACATTTAAACCCCGTCCGATGGCGTGGTGCACTTTTTATGAACTTATAGGGGGGGGGGGTTAAAAAACTGTGTTTGGAGAGCTGAAGCACTTTCGAACAACAGAAGGTCCACCCCAAGAATCTGCGCTCCTCCAGAGCGCCACAACATAAACAGAGAGTGCACGCAGCTTTGAAATAAATGACCGGTGCTGTGGGATGTTTCACAGGACGTCTCAATGAAAAAAAAATCCACACAGAGTTTCTTTTAAGGCTCAAACAATGATAATAAATACACTCCCCCACTGATTGCGAGCATTGTCCAAGCGCAAATCTCCTGCGTCAGTTGGAGCGCAAACGATCACCTGCTCGGTTGGATGAACTCCTCGCACAGTCCAGAGCGGCTCCGTCTCAGGATAATGTTTAAATACCAGTGTGCAGAAAGTCTCCCTTTGTCAAGAGGCCGGACCGGATCAAAACAGTTGATCCGAGGGCCAAGAAGCTTCGCAGTGAACCGCTGTCTTGAAGCATGAATGAGACCCTCTGCCGGGATAGAGCGTGGAGGAGGGGCCTTAGTGCCATATGGGGAACCGATTGTTGAAATGGATGCTCTCATTGGTGTAAAGTGCATCCGTTGTTTGGACTTCTGCCACATTCAGCATCCAACCGGTGAGTCCTCCTGCAAACTTTTCACACATGTTAACTTCCAGCAGGGTGACCAGGCAGGGCAAAATACTGGTCACGTTTATTTAGAGAAAGAGTAGAGCCCAGATATTCATTTAAGAAAAAATATATATATTATAAGAACCATTATTATTGTTCTTATTGAAATGTTTAATGTAAATAAGGCATCTGCATGTCAAGAGATGGGTTAAGCCTCTGAGATCAATATTATTATTTTTATTCAACATCAAAATCCATGTGTATATTGTATAACGTGTGCATTTCAATCACCGATTGTTTTGTATTTATATATATTCAGTAAACCCAAAGCCACTTGTTAATTGTGGTTTTCATTCATTGCTCACCCAACCGGTCGAGGCAGGTGGCTGCCCACTTTGAGTGTAGTTCTGCCAGAGGTTTCTTCTAGTTTAGAGGAGGTATTTTTTCTCTAAGTGTTTGCTCATTGGTGGAATAGTTTCTCTATAACTTTTAAGGTCTCATCCTCACCATGTAAAGAGCCTTGATATAATGTACGTTATGATTTGTCGCTTATATGCACATATAAATCGAGTTGAATTGTCCTCTGCTCCAAATAGTGTCCGCAGCAGCAGATCCTGTTTGGTCTTTTCACTCCAGTCAAGCATTCAACACAAGTGCGCTCTCGACGGGCGCGCATTCAGCAGCTCTGCCGTCTGCCGCTTTGAACGCAATGATTCCGCTGAGGAGGCATCGCATCAGTGTCAGCGGCAACAATGGACGTCTGGTTGCTCCATCAATCTCCGCCAGCAGCGCGCAGGGCCAAGCTCTGATTGGCGTCCGGAGCGCAGCCTGACAGTGGGGTAGAAATGAGCTCTTAATCAATACAGGAGAAGCTTCTCCTCAAGTCCACACTGCCCATGAGTTCAGTCAAGGCCCACATAGAAAATGTAATATATGGGAAGGGATGTATTCAGATACAAAAGTAATTATTTGTGACAAAGTTAATCGAGCTGCTGATTTGGATCATTTCTTGGAAAGGCCCTGGAAAAAGAAAGTGCACGAACCAGAAAAGTGTTTGCTACACAATCCCAACCTTTTTTTTAAAAATAATGTAAATAAATAAAAAAACTTTTGTTCTCTAACTTTTGAGGTTTCTTCTCAGCCTAAACAAAACGAATTTAAAGCTTCATCATGTTCTGGAGCATTTTCTTGCTGCTCAGAAATTAATTTCCGCTCCCGTTCGTTGGGCGTTGAAAAGGAAAGTTTTTTTTCCTCCATCCTTGGTTCCTCGCCCCTCACCGAGACCATTGTCTCTGTGTGGAGTTTGTGCGCCCGGACAATGAATGTAAATCTCCCCCCTTTGGATCCCGCCCCAACCCACCATCTGCCAGCGCGGGACAAAGTCAGATGTTCCCCCAATTATGAGAGCAGTCTTGGGGAATCCATGCTCCGAAGTCCCCGCCCTGTCTCCGTCCCTCACACACTTCCCTAAAAATGATTGACAGCTCTATTTAACCGTGAAAAATCTAAATATGATGACACACACTTAAATATGAAATTCCTCCAGACGCTGCTAAACTGCAGGTTGGACGTGTGCTCTAAAATAGCGCACATGGATGTGTTGGTGCTTTAGGAGGAGCACCGCTTGAACAGTGCAGTCAGCGTGAGGTTGGTTCAATGCCTTGTTGTAAAAAACTCATCTACTGACGCAGAGTGGACGGACGTGTGCTAAAAAATTGAAGATTCCACTGCAAAATAAAAGTTGCAGAAAGAATAGATTTAAAGCTGGAATCGAACGGAATGCACATCTGCGCAGCGATGGAGCATTTAGAAAGTTTCTCCAGCGTGTTAAACACAATTAATTTGAGTGACGTCATGGTGGTGAAATCCTGAGTTAGTTTGAAATAAGTCAAAATAAGCAGATCAGAAAGGTTTCTGCGATTTAGAATTTAGAGGTGTATTCATCCATTCATTCACTTTGTTTATTTATAATAGTGAGAATAGTGTTATAGCATTGTGGCTGCAACCCATTTCAAGCTCACAGAAAGTTTTACATTTGGCAGGAAAACTGGTCGTGCTGCAAAAGTTAACAGAAGAAATTCTTCTCTCCTCTGTAATCGTGTGTGTTTTGCAGTGGATGAGCTGTGACAGTCCATGTGTCTCTCCACAGGTGCGAGGGAGACAGAGAGGATGCGTGCGCCCTGATCATTCACACAACCCGCCAGGACCTGTCCAATAAAAGTGTGTGGTTTTGTCTCATTTGGCGAAGCTGTGAGCAGCAAGGGGCGAAAATTAAGGAGGGGGGGGGGGGAGATTAGTCAAACCACAAACGTCTTTCTAATCAATTTAACCCGTTGAGTCGGTCAGCCCGTGCGCTTCAGGGTGGAGGAGGTGGAGGAGGGAGGGAGAGGATCAGTGACTGCTTAACCAAACAATGGGGTATCGTGTGCCGCTCGTCCTCTCCAGCATTCCCCTGCTCCCATGGGACACCCGGAGCCACTCTCTGAGGATGGCACTGTGTCCACGGAGGTCAGGGGGGGCGTGGCGTGCGTGCGTGCGTGCGTGTGTGCGTGTGTGTATGTGTGTGGGTGCAGGGGGGGATGCTCTGGGGGCGCAGCAGCTGGTCCCCGTCCCTCCTCTCCTCCACAGAAAACAACAGAGCTGATGCAGCCCACCACCCTCTCAATCGATCGCCATATATTGCTCTTGTTTGTTTTTTTTGTTTACTTATTTTGGCAAGGGATTCAGATCCCCTGGGGGAGGGACCACATTTAGCCCCATTACTCAATACCAAAGAAACTAAAATCCACAAAACTTTAAACACACATTTGGATCCATCTCAATACAAGACTTGCACTTAAATCAATTCCTCCAAGGAAAATACACAAGGCAGCTATGATTGGGGCCTGAAGAGGATTTTGTCAGAGTTATTGATGTATAATAAAACTTTCACTGTAGAACTTCTGAATATCACAACTGTATGGCCCACAGTACTGTTACAAGTGTGAAATGATTTTTAAGTTTTATAAAGTGAGACATTTTTGGTTTTCTGGAGAATTGGGTGAACATATTTTTACCTCTAGCATCTGCTCGGCACATTATTCTAAACTTTGATATTGAACCTCTCACACCACACACTCTGTCTCATCATATAACATAAAAAGCACATGTGCAGTTAAAGACATTTATGATGTTTCCCTTTTTACTGAAGTGAGTTAAGTTATTCATTGTGTCATGCAAGTACCCACTTGAATGTGCAAGACTCCAAAAGTACTGTTGAGAGGTGGTTCAGCATTTGTCTGACAGGAAAAGAACTCCTTTCATATAGCATTACGTTATTGTCTCCATAATGTCCCAGTTAAAACCAAGGCAGTGGTTTCGCTACTAGGCTGCACGTCATCTTGATTTGACTTGATGTGATTCAACAGCTTGCTTTTGCTTGTGAGGGAAACAGCAATAAATGGGTTTATCTTCCTTTTTTTTTTACCAGGGTTTGGGTGCACACAATGGTCCACTGTGTTACATTTCAGCCTTTTTCTGTGTCAGATGTCAATAGTTTGGATTGCCGGTCGGATTTAAGTCCAACAAGTATCATTTTGCCATTTTGCCATTACCTTCTTGTTTTTGTCATCCATAGCAGCAAGAGACTCCATGTAAATCACTCTGTAGTGTGAATTGAACATTTGTTTTGAAAGGAAAAAAGGAACAAATAATGTCATCATTGGCATTAAGGAAATTTAGCCAAACAAGCAAAATTAAGGTCTCAGACTTCTAAAACCCCCGGTGAAGGCCTGCCATTCTAATATAGACAAGAGTCACCATAAAACTGTCATTGTCATTTTTACTGTAACTATGTGTGGAAAAAGTCAGGAACATGTTATACAGTGAAGTCTCACAAAGTCTGAGGAACAGACACACACTTTTTTTTTTATTTGTGCACATTGACCTCAACATTTTGTTTCACAACTGACTAAGCCAATCAACATTTGTGATGTCATCACAGAGCACAATCATAACCCCAAACCTAACATTAACACCAAACATTAGCCACTACAAAATGTTGCACCATGTCTCTACAGTAGCCTGGAATGGACAAACTCCACACAGCCAGTGTACAGTTTGTCTGGAGAGGCCCTATGGCATTTTTGTTACCTGAAGGCCACCATAGATTCTTCCACACTTGGAAGGAAAGACACACTGAACCTTAAAACACAAGTTTACATACATACTTGATACAACTTCAACTGCCTCTTCAAACATATTCAAGACAGCATCAAAGTTTAGCTTTAGGTTTTACAAAAGGCAACAAACCCACTGTGGTTCCTTCAGAATTGGTATTTCCTAATTCATTATTTTGTAATTGATTCCTTTAGTTTGGAGCAACACAGATTTACCGCAGGTAAAATCCACCTATACTCATTATAATTGCAAATTTTTTTGCTAGACCTTTCACACACTTTCTGTTCGGCAAATACTGTAAATCCTCAGCACAGAAACAGTTGTTCTTGAGCATTAGTATACAGTGCAGCTTGTGCTAGCCTTCCTGTCCTTGTAAAGTTGTACGCCACTGCCATCTGCTGGTCTGCTTACAGACATCGTCAGCATGGTCTTCAGACAAACATGTGACCTTCTATTTGTTCTGGATCATCATTATTGTCTTTCAGATGCAAAAGTGAATCTCTACCACAAGAATGAATAATGTCACAGATAAAGTGACTCAAAAATATCTATCTATTTTTGAGGGAATAAAAAAGTGCTCCAAAATGTTCTTTCATAGAAAAATAACACGAATGATAGCGACTAACCCTTTATATCTCCAGTGTAGGTACCAGTGCAAAATGAACATCCGCTCATTCCATATAATGTTTTTAAACAGTCAAAAAAATCATACAGCTTTTTCAGACACTTTGCTCTCTGTCAACAAGTTTCCAAATGGAAATGTGTGACTTCAACAAACTCAGCGTTGCTCTACTACACTTGAATGTGCAGTGTTTTGAGGATGTCAAGGAGAAGCAGCTGTGTCATCAGTCTCAGTGAATAGTAGATGCCCTGAAAAGAAGCTATCACTGGACAGACCATTGCCTCCCTGGTTGGCCAACAGCCACACCATGTCTCCCTTCTCAAGCTTAATATACACGTTGCCACTTGCTGTGATGCGGCCGCTCTGCTTGGTGGTGAATGAGTGCACAATCAGTTTTCCATTATGCATCAGATCTATGTTGGCAGCTTTCTTGAAGATTGTGCAGTGGAATTGGAACTCATAAACACCTGGTTGCTCACAGGTGAAATACCCTGTCGATACGTTATAGCGGTTCTGTCCATTGTAGATTACCTCACGAAATGCAATCGGCATGCTAGCTTTAGGAAAATTGTTGCCCAGTCTCACAGAGAAGGCAACTTTGTTTTCAATGCGAGGGGGTTGAGTGGGTTTAGGTGTGGCTGGGACTCCTGTGAACAAAGACATGGGTACAATCAAACCACAGAACTTTTCCATTTTAAAATAAGGCATCTAGTATAACAATTACAACATTTTTGGATAATTAAATAGGGAGTGGAAGATTTATTTGTTGATCAATGTGAATCAAAACAAAAATCCAAGGGAAGAAATCTGTTATTTCGAAAATACTTGAATCATGTTGCCACTGATCAGCCTCAGTCAACTGTGACAGAGAGGACTCAACTCACCATCCTCCTTCCATGGGCTGAGGTCAAAGGCAGAGATGTTCTTACACGGAGTGTAACCTGACCCACGAGGCCGGTACTGGAAGGGGCTTTTAGGTACTTCAGTGATACCAGTGTTGTCACAGATGATGCGGGCAAGTGATGTTTTCCTCAGGGACACCCTCTGAGCCTCAGTGAAAACTCCATTGTTCTCCCACCAAAGTCTGAAATTGGACACTTTGTTATCATTTAAGTCTCTGGTTTTATAAATGACTATGAAGGTGGAGCTGATAAAGTTATGTTCACATAATTAGAAACATTAGTTAGATAATATACCGATCTCCCTGACGGATCTTCTGGAACTGAGTGGCAATTAGGCAGGCAAAGAGGGGTCCCACCCTACCACCCCTCACAAACGGCTCAGCCACTCCTCCCATCCACACGTCGATGTTGTCAGGTGTGCCATAGAGATTCAGAAGTTTCTTGGCGATATCTGTGTTGTTCATAACACTTTCCAGCTCGCTCAGATTTTTTGGTTGCGAGAGCTTGCAGAACTTGCGCCATTTGTTGTATCCTAAAAAGAGCCACATGTTTAGTATGACACTTAAGCCTTTACAAAGATGAAGGATACAAACTGTATAAAACCAGATAAATACCTGGAAGTGCATGGTCTCTGCCTCTCTGCATATTAAGAGAGGCCAGATCAAGCGCCAACTCAGCGGAGAACTTAAACAGCTTGTTCCTGAGCTCCTCAGGCATCATGTGTTTCTGTGTAGACAGCTTGGCCTTGCGGCCTATTAGCCCCCGCAGGATTGGGTCCAAACCACCTAAGGTACATGGACAATCATTAAATGATTACTTGAATTTGTCCTCTCTTTAGGGAACGACTAAGAAGTTCGGGGATCGTGGCCTTACCTTCAAAGATCACCCTCCATGGTGTGAAAAAGGCTTTGTGCAGTAGTGGGCTGGGGTAATCACGGTGCTGCTGATAGTTCTCATCAAGACGGAAAATAAATGGCTGAACCATCAGGTGAGCAAATCTGTAGGCAGCTGTTGCAAACACATTGGATATGCTGGGGTCCACATGTTCATCATAACCAGGGTAGGTGGACAGCTGCCTTGCAATTACATCTGGACCAACAATGTGGTTCAAGTAGTCTCTGAAGGTGAGAACCTGGAAAAAAAAAGAGACATGAGACTTGTGCTGCTCATGCAGCTATGTTGTGAAGACCCCTTTTAAGCTGGTGGCAGTCAGCAGCATTTAATTTGGATTGTAATTGTATTGTTCACTATTTAAATTTATTTTTCATTTCTTTAAAATAAACAAATTTTAAGTAACAATTCATGTTACTTTCATTCAATTTCCCCCCTTTGTCCAGCCTTGAGCTAGGTTGTGACTAAGCACCTGAAAGTATGCTCCCATGATCTTGCGGGCCTCCTGGTAGAGTCTCTCTCCGTTCCAACGAGGGTTGAGTTTTGCCAGGGCACGTACCAGACGATTGTGCTCACGCAGCAACAGTGTGTGCAGAGAGGTCAGAGCAATGTTCTCATTGGAGCGTTCATCACCTGGGAGACAAAGCATGGAAAATATTTTTAATAATCACAATCCCAATGTGTGATTAAAGCTTGCAATGCACTTTGTATGTCAACATTTTTGCTTCCACTCACCAGCCAGAAAGCAGGGCACCTCTTCAGCAATGACATTGTTAGTAATGCGGGCTCGTGTCGCACACATGTTGGCACCACTGTTTTGAAACGGCAGGAGCTCGCGGCTATTGTCATCGTACTTTTCGTTTACCCTTAAAAGTCCTTGGTCTGTGGTAAGGTTACGGAGGAAGCGAGCTTTGGAATCATCTGAACTGTACACCTGGCCCACGTCAATGAAAGCTGTGATAGCGTTCATCTGCTGACGAACATTGCTTGCACCGAAGAGGTAACCTGTGTTGCCAGAACCACAACCTGCTGCTGAGCGGAAGAAGGGCATGCATTTTTCTGAGTGATTGAGGAAGCGGGGGTCTCCACTGGGGATCTGTTTTGATGACAAGAGGCCACGATTATTCAGTTTGTGTGTGTGTGTGTGTGTGTGTGTGTGTGTGTGTTCTTTTAGGATAACATGTCTCTAGTTTTGTAATGTAATGATACTGACCTTGATGGGGAAACAGGGTTCTGTGTATTCGCAGCTCTTGTCACAGTTGATCCCCTTACTGAATGAGCTGATGACAGGAGATTGAGGTGTGAAGGTCAGGTCGTGGTCGGTCCATTGGCCGAAGATTGTCACCAGGTGAGTGTACAATGGGTCACTTTCCACATCCTTATTAGCTGTGCTCATAATACGGTTGGACACGTCCCTCACCTGTGGATTTGATGCAGGCAATCAGCACTTTGGTGAAAATGATTTATACATTTGTGACAACCTCTTATATGTTTTATCTGTACAAAAACATCACTACAGATGTGATTACATTTTCAGGTTCTGCTCTCTTTTTTACAGGAGCAGTGATCATCGCTGTACTGTATACTATATATATATTTTACTTCAGTACCAATGGCAGCAAATGGTTGTTGATCTTCTGCTTAGGGTCCCATCCTTTGGGCAGAGAGACATTATCCTGGTACTCAGCAGGAAGCCAGCGGGTGAAAGGTGTGTTGGCAGACCCCCATCGAGGGTTTTTTCTGAGGAAAAATAAATCCTTTGTTGGTCTTTTTCTCTTTTTTCTGTCAATTATACACAATCATTTTAATATGTTTATTTGGTAAATTAATTTAAGTAAAGGACAAATGACTATGATTTGCTCTCCCTGGCTCCTCCATGAACTACTCAGCAGCTGCCTCACCTGTTGTTGCAGACATTGCTGGCAGTGCGAAACTTGTCTTTGTTTGGAGTCGTACTGCAGGAAGGGACACGATGTCGGGGAGAGCAGCCTGTCAGATTAGCAATGACCTGCAGATCCTCTTCAGAGATCAGATCTAATTCATCGGGCAGAGAAATGGCAACTCAGTTCTCTACAAATGGCAAATATTTGTTGGTGAAGTTGGAGAATATGTGAAAGGTTACACACCTGTGGCGTTGATGGAGCGTTTTCTGCGTCTTTGCAGAGAGCTCTTGAGCAGTGACACAGTGATGTCCATATAGTCTGCAGCCCGCACAGCACTGCGAGTCAGCCCGGAAGGCTGCTTCAGCAACCGCAGCACGTCTGAAGGATTTGCTTCATTCCTCCTCACTCGGGCGAGGCTCCTGTATATATTTCATTCAGAATATCGTCAGTGTCATTTTATAAAACTGAGCGATGTTTCAATTAGCGAATAATTGACAAAACACAAGTCCAACCAGTTTGTACACCTACTCTTTTCGGGAGCTTGTATAAGCATTGTCCACATTGGCCTTGGCCGCAACCACAGCTCTCTCAATAACACTCCTGCTCAAACGAGATTCTGTAAAACAATAACAATTAACAAATAAATAAAATACATTTTAAATAATAATGATAATAAATGAGTTACCATTATTACTGGCAATTTAACATTTCGTACATGTCACAAAGTAAACATTTATAGAAACTTTAGTACCAAACATATTTCGGTGTCCAATACAAAAATGAGGGAATAAACTGTCAGGTTGAGAATCTAAAATAAATTGATGCATTTTTTTTAGCTGTTGTGTTTTAAGGTCACACTCACCTGCATTTACGTGACATTGCATGAACAGGTAAAGTCCCGCAGCCAGCACAAACAGAAAGTGATTCATCTGAATAAAAAGAAAAGGGAAATGTATTCAACCTGTAATTAAGTCAAAAAGCAAATGATTAAAAATAATTATTCAGCGATTTACATATGTTTATATATAAGTATATATTTCAGAATTAACGTTGAACAGCTTGAAAAATGTAATGGAAAACACATTCATGTTAAATTATAGCACATTGACTGTAGGCTATGGAAATAAATAGCATATGTAAAAACTAATAAATAATAACCTGTGTGGTTGAAGTTGAAGTTTGGGTCCTCTAATGGTTTGTGTATCATCCAGCTTCCAGAGTTTGCAGCATGTGTCAGATATCAGAGGTTTCTCTTTTTTATAGTCTGAGCTTGACTTGATTTCTCAGAAATGCTCCTCACACAATACATTTTCATCTTCCTCATTCCTCTGCATCAGTCATTTCAATGGACCGCATGTGTTCATTGCGGGAACAAGGATGTGGCTCCGACAGGTAAAGTAAAAGGTTTCAGTATGTCAAGGTTATGATTATGTCTTCATGATAAGCCAATGTTGTCTTTGCCAAGCCAACATCAATCACTCTCTTATGTTGCATATGTATATAAAGGTACACTTTATATAGTTCCTTCCAAACATGAAAAAGAACCTGTGGTAGCCTTTAATTGTCATAAAACCTCAAAAGGTGTTTAGTTTGTCCAGTCTGGACTAATGTAAAAAACATGGCGGCCTCCGTAGAGAGGGTCCCCTCGATGTAAATATAAAGTATTTTGTCATACATAGCACATTGTCCATCACTCACACCATCCATTCTCACACTAACAGCACAGCCATCACAGCCATCAGGGCTGGTTAGGGTTCAGTGTCTTGCCCAAGGACGGAAGAAGCCAGGAATGGAACCACAGACCTTTTGATTAGTGGATTACCTGTTATACCCTGAGCCATATTGTACCAGGAAATCTGTTTTTGTTCTCTAAAACCTCATGTCAGGAAAAGACCTAGAGTGACTGAATCTGACTAATGAAGCTAAATCAAAGATGAGACTTTGTATATTGGGTTTTTCTGTGGTAGAAGACACTCCTTGGCGATATCTGAGGTCATCTTTGTTCGAGTGCAGTTAAAAACAATGTGACATGTTTTACAGGTTGAGCCTGACAGTTCATCTATCATCAAAATGTTTGATTCGGGTTCGACTTTGTGATTCATTTTTCTTTTCACCCAGTGGACTTGATATTACAGATTTGTCCTGCCTGACAATCAAACAAAAATGCAGAATACATGTATTTATATTGAATCATTTTAGTTGGGCTTCCCCAGGTAATTTCTTGTAAAAAACTTTTCTGCCGGGCAAGACTAAAACCTGAAGTGAAGCAGCTTTTAGTTCCCCTGCAATAAGCTGAACAACTGGCTTTTGCTTCATGCATTTTCTTCTTCAGTGGATTTTTATATGATGTCTTTGACCCCAATTTTTAGTTTCAAGAAACTGGTTGGTAATTTCCAAACTCTGCGTATGAGATTGATTACAAGTCACCAGGTTCCTCAAAGCCAAAAATAGCCGTTCATTTAACACATGGGTAGAACCTGGCATGTGGCCTCTCTGGTTTTCTTTACTGGAAGTTAGAGACAAATCGTGCGTGTTAAGGAAAACATGGGACATAAAAACATTGGAAGAGAAATTCCCCAGATAAGATTTTTTTGCCCTTAGACAATAGTGATGAAAATGAAATATTCTCAAAATGTCTTCAGATGTTTCGTGATTAATTTCTCAACAGTTTTCTGATATTTTGAATCTTTTAATGTGAATGTAACAGGAAATATAATCTTCTCGGAATTTAGGTAAATCTGACTTTAAGTGGCATCTTGCGAGTTACCCAGTTTCCAGGCAGTCAAGGATTATGACAAAAACGCAAAAAAAAAATGGAATGGTCATTTTGATTGGACTCCTCAATAACTCATGGAGCAATTTAATGCCCCCCACCCAAAAACATCTAACACATGGGTGGAAGCTGACATGTGGCCTCTCTGGTTTTCTTTACTGTAAGTAAGCAATCAATTGACAGCATGCATCATAACATGGGACATAAAAACATTGGAAGGGAAATTCCCAAAATTAGATTAATAATGTAAAGAGTGTTCTTGTTATTCTGGCTCAGGAAAACTTAAACTTAAATACTTATATACTGTATGCAATGGTTCTCTTCATATTTCATTCAAGACTTCTCAAATCTGGCAAGAAAATATTTTAAAGGTCCCCCAGTTCCCCCCACACCTACCTGTGAACACCTACCACAACCTATCATTTCTATGAAGTATCATTACTCTGAATGTTGCTAAATGATGACGACGTATCTTCTGCACAAACGATAAAATATGGCTGAATTTGTAATTGGTGCTGACACTGGTGAATACAATTATTCACTCGAGGAGCCTCAGTTTTCCAACATACAGTAGATCTGTTGACAGAAGATTCTTGATCTCATGTTCATTCGAACAGTCATAACTGAAACTTGAAGTACAATGGAAACATCTCAGTACGATCTGATATGGTAGGGAGAAAATAACAAACCTGCGTCATTAGAGGTTATAATAACATTGTTGAGATTTCCTAAGAGTGGAGACTATCTCAAGGTAAAACATCCTAATGTAATGCATTAAAATTTTACGAGTTTGTCAAACACAATATTATAGGTATCAAAAGATGCATTCAATTCAAATAATATTTCAACCAATCTGAGCTCAGCCACAGAGGCTGAATCAGGCCATCAGCGTTGCCGTGCCAAGGAAAACTCTTTGACTGATAGCTTTGTGACATCTCTTAGTCTTACGTGGAAATGATGAAAGCCTATTCAAGAGACATGAAGGCAGAGATGCCAAACTGCAAACGTGGCTTGATCTGCATCTAGATAACAGAAGCAAAAACATTCCACAATCACCATCAAATGATGGTATTAAGGGAGTAATGTGGCAAACGGTGCGTTTCCTCTTTCTGTAGGGTTTGTGCAATTTGGTGGGGCCAAAGCTTTCAATGATATGATTGTTGAAAGAAATTATCCTGTGTTGAAACTTTTCAATATTGATATAGACCCAAAACCTACATTGCCTGTTCACAGTTTAATACATTTAGTTTAGGAGATTCCGAAGGGAGAAAGACTGCTTGGATCAGACATTGGTGTGACACAGAGTACATGTTTTTAAAAAAGTGTTTTATCTAAAAATGAAAAAAGGTCTAAAACCTTACTGATGGTGGCTACATGATTAAAGACATTAGAGCATTTTATACTTGTAGATTTGAGGATAATTGATTAAGTGTGTTTGCGTGCGGGCATGTTCTCAAATATTATGTTCACAAGTTGACTCACACCTTTCCCTCCCTTTCTTCTTTTTGTTTATTTGCTTTTGGATGCTTTTGATGGAATGAAAGATTTGGATTGTTTCCTCATACTGCTTTGGTATGTATATTGGCAGGGCATGCTTCTAAAAACAAAAACAAAATATTTTGTATGTGTCATGTGTTTCCTGAGAATTGACCCAGGGCTTTTTCTTATAAATGGATCGAGCACAGGACTTAAACTCAGGAGGAGTACTTACACACAGGTCTCCTGTCCCACAAGCTCAATGATGTCCCTCAGTTGTAAGCTACCAAAAGCATCTGTCAAACTAGAAGGACAAGAGCACAAACCTTGCTGATTCATCACTTTATCAACTTATTGCATATATATGTATTGAGATCAAATACATTCCCCGCCAATGCCCATAAAAGGGCATGAGACTGCAGGGTCATGTGCACACAGAGAAATCACAGAAACTGAGAGGGATATTGAATAAGTTAAGAATATCAGGAGATAATTGCAAATAAATTAGTTTGTTCTTCAGATTTAACAGGCTACAATTGTACAGAACATTTTAAGGAAAACCGTAGAACATGTGACACATTTAAAATAACCAGGGTGTAAAACCTAATGATGGGTGACAATTTTTGTAAATGAGTCTTTTCTTTTTCAAAAAATAAAATTCTTTTAAAATGTCTGACACACATCTGCGAAAATAGAAATATGCATCAACCTGTCTGTGGTTTTTAGACTTAAAATCATGAAATATTATGGTATCCTAATTGAAATCTTATCATAAAACTGTAGATTAAAAAAAACTGATAAATTTGAGTGTGTGTAGATTCTGTTCTTACTAACGAACAAGTTCCAGATAAGAAAACATTGGTGAGTGTGAGACACTGGTGCTATTGATGTCCCACCAAGTCAAAATGTCTGCTGTGCCTTACTAACTTATAGCGACAGAGACTTTTTTCAGGTCGTGTTTGGTTGCATTATATTTCACTGAAAATGAGACAAAGACCTGAAATTCAACACAATTGTGCTACATCTTAATTTGAATAATCTGATATCTATTAATAAAAAGGACAAATCGATCACACTCAGATCCCCAGGGGGGAAATACCTTTAGTTTTGGGTGCTGCCTTCAGGTGCTGTCAAATTAAAAAATTAAAAAATAGGACAACCAGATCAACATCTCCCATTAAATTAATGAAACCCTGTATCATTACAAATTATTTTCTTACAGCTTTAAATAGGGCAGCATCTCCAGGGTTAACAGCTTATGAAACATCACTTGGCTACTGAAGTCAACCAAGCTGTTGAACTTGTTGTTTAACATTGTTTCAATTATCATTAAAAATACAGCAGCCTTACTGGAACTCATCACCTGCATGGGTGCTTCAGCGCAGGCATAAAAAAGTCAAGAGGCGCTTGTCTGTGCATGGCATCATGTAAAAAGTAATGAATTAAGATAATTACTGTTATTATTATTATTATTATACCAGGGTTTGACTGAATTTCCTATTGTGACCCATTCTTTGAAACTTGGAAAATCTCTCAATAATAAGTCCACTGGGTGAAAAGGTGCCCACCCCAAAATTCTAATTGGCCCCCCAATCTGAGCAGTCTGGGCCGGAGTGAGGTGATCTCTTTTTCTGGTCCTGGTCAGCATTCAGGCTCCAAGTTCTCAATCAGCTGATCTATCAGGTTGTTGGGTGGAGCAGATTGCAGAGCATCCCAGTCAAACCTCCTCCACTCAAAAGCATGCCTTGGGGGTCAAACTAGGCCATGCCTTTATGGGACCTCTGCTCTGCTGCCATCTATTGGTCAGAAGTGATTTTCACTTCATATATTTAATAATGGACTTGAATTCAGTATTGATTACAAATTAATGACCATATAAACAACGTGAAATGGTTCGTTAAGACACACCACCACCAAATTCCTGCCTGGTGTTCTTAGGAATGCCTCATTTGCAGTTGTACAACTGGATAGAAATCTTCTTTATTCACAAGTGCCTTTAATTTATTTTACAAGCCATTATTGAATTTTAATATATTTTTACATTTTGCATATTTCTATCTACTTTATTTTCCCTCAACTTAGTGTTTAATCTTTATACAGATTTATCCTATTATATTTCTTTAACCGTTCCTTTTACTCTCTTGTTTTGCTTGCAAATTGTTTCAAAATGAATTTTTGTTTCTTTTTAATCTTGTGTCTTCTGTTATTTTTATGTCCATGTACAGCACCTTGAATCTACCCCTGTGTATGAAATGTGCTTTATATTTAAAACTGCTTTGCCTTGCTATGTAAGTTAAGCTCCCACCTAATAACCTATGTCATTTTAGTTTGTATGACTTTTTCTAATTTATTTTATTCAGAATAGAACAAATGGCATCTGATAACAGAGTGAGGACCAGTTTGAATTTATAATTATAATTATTATTATCTAATATTTGATAGGTTTTTTTGGGGGGGGATAGGTTTTTTTGTTTGTTATATTTTTTATTTGGTTTTTGCTCCACGGCGCCGGCGCTTCACAGCTTCCGCTCTGATTCGCTGTGACGACGGACCTTTATTTCCGGTACCACCCACACAGCCGCCAGATGTTATCATCGTGACCACAGACCGTCTGTCGTCTCGTGCCTCCGCTCACCATGACAACACCTGGGCTCGTGCTGGTGATGCTCGCGCTGTCTCTGTGTCCAGGTAAGATGAAGATCCAATATTTACGTCACCGTCCTGCTTCAGTGTTTCTCTGCCAGCTGAGCGGCCTCCATTCCTTCTGCTGTCATGCATCCCATTCGTGTCGACGCTTCCCGAGTGATGCTGAGATATTTGACTGTTCATTTCTCTTTCTGTGTGTTCTGAAGGAGACTGCAGGTTCATCATAGAACCTTTGTCTCTCATCAAACAGCTGGTAATCCTCGTTTTTTGCTTCCCATATCATCAGTGTGGTTTCAACAATATTCATTTTAAAATAATGCAGACAGGGAATCTCTCTCAAAGACACGTTCTTATTGGTGTGCTTTCTCGTCTCCTGGGATCTTATTATGTTTTATTTATCTTGATTTTACTCTTTTCTTCTGTGTAACATGTTTTTATATCTGTCTGTGCACTATGTCTGTGATCTTCTAATTGTTTTTAAATTCTTTCTTATTGTTTTTGTAACCGTTTCATATTCATAGATTTTAAATTGTAAAGCACCATGTAACTGAAGCTTACTTGTACTATTACAGTCCTCTGAAATAGCAAAATGTCAGTCTCATCACGTGCATGTATGTGTCGCTTTTATTTAATGGCAAAAAGTCATACATTCATTTACTAGATATGATGTGGTTTTTTTTACCATGTACAGTGTATCTGCTTTAGCAACAAATATTTTGGTGTGCTCCTCTTAAAATGTGCACGTGGTGAAAAAATATGGACAATGTCATGCTTTGTTTGGATTAAATTGTTTTAACATGACTGTACCTTGCCTGAACAATCTTCTCCCTGTGGCTGTCCTCACCAGACATTGGACACATGTTCAGAATGCACACAGATCCTCCAGCTGTCCGCTAACATGATCTCCAGCAGAGACACTAAGGTGAGGATGTCTGTGATTCACTGGAACTTTACTGATGATCACATGGGTTTGATTTGAAAGAATGGCAACCACATCCAGCAGCTGGGATCTCTGTAGTACCCTGTATAGTTTTAATGTAAATTGTGTGTTTTGAAATAACAAAACTAAGACTACTTGTCATTTGTTTTTTGAATGCCTATGTATTAACTTATTGTGGTTAGACAGCCAACAGAATTTAGATTTTTGCTATTTATTTTAGAAAAAAAGAGACGGATTAGTTTGAAAGTTTTCATTCTATAGGGGGGAAATGTGGACTCAAAAGAAACCACATATAATTTGAAGAAACGGTAAAACTAAAATTCAATTCTCTTACAAAGGTTTTGGTTTGTCCTCGCTTGGTATTTTGCAGATAAGAGGGTAGAAACTGGGTTTTACTTTTAAACATTTGACTGTTCTCTACAAAAGGACACACCCAGTTTATTTATCGCAACAGTTCACTGACTACTTTGCTTTCACAGGAAACTGTGTATGAAACCTTGCATGCTCTCTGCCAGCGCTTCCCACATGAACAGGCATCACAGTGTGACTCACAGGTCAAGGCATATTTGCCCAAAGTGCTGCATCAAACACCTGGTCACCTGGTGAGTTTAACCTCTATTCACACTTCCTTTAAGATAAATGGAAAAACACAAAGGCCTAAAGGTCATATTGTGTGTGTTTTTGTAGAAGCCAGTTGAGACCTGTTTGGTTTTTGGACTTTGTGCTGCCCAAAATGAGGAAGAGCTGCTGAAACTTCCCCAATATGTCACCGATAAAGTCATATCCAGCTCTGCACTTGGTGCAGCGATCAGCAGCTATGTGAGTCAGTTTAAGTGACACACAATCATAAAAGTGAAACTTGTGTAAATGTCCCAATCACCACCAAATCTTCTCTCTCTAGGAGAGGTTCAACCCAGTGTGCTCCCTGTGTCTGTTTGTCATCAACAAACTGGAGACCCTTCTGCCTAAAAACATGACTGAGGTGACTTTTTCCCCATATGTATTGATTAAAGGCCCATGTCCCTTGCTATGCATCACATGATGTAAATCTCACTGTCGGACCTGTCTCGCCCTGCAGGAAGCTTTATTGAAGCTCATGGGAGAGGTCTGTGAACTTCTACCTCATAGCTACAAGGACCAATGTGATGACTTCATCAGTAAATATGGCGTAGAGATAGTGGAGTTCCTCATGTCGTCTGCGGCGCCTCACACAATATGTACTCTTCTGCATCTGTGTATGTTTGAGGAGCAGCTTCCTCCAGGTCAGTCACATGAATACCCTCACTCATATTTTGCTAACAGGTTTATAGATGAGGAACCATGCCCTTCCTCACTGTCAAGTTAACGCTCTACTGGTTTCAGTGGCGTTCCTCCCCTCGGACTGCGAGTCGTGCCGCACACTGGCTGTGCTGAGCCGACTGCACCTGGGTCCTAACTCAACCGAACCTGAGACCTCGTCTTTCCTGCAGTCTGTGTGTGTCCATCACCCCAATGCCATCCCCAAGGTTTGACCCTTTACTTATAATCCCAATACTCTTTATACTCTGAGTCTCAACTAACAAATAAATTCATGATCACTACAAGCCAACATGTTTCATCTGAGTCCACACTGGTATCTTATGTAGTTACTGAGCCTATAATGAATCTACATATCCTGTTACTGTGTGCTTTTAAATTATGCCATATGGCCACTCATAGACACACATCTTTTGTCTTTCTGCATTAAAAACTATTACTCTCTCTTTTCAGTGTCAAGCTTTCACCCAAATCTATGGCTCCCGACTGCAGAAGGTTTTGGGAAACCAGATGGAGGTTCCACATGCTTGTGAAGTAAGAACAAGCTTTTGTAAGAATAGAATAGATAATGTTATCACCTGGTTGGTTCATACAATTTAAAAAAAAAAAAAAAAAGTCAATAAAGTAAGAAAGATAGGTATAAATTGCCATCGTCAGCAGATTGTACGGTCAAGAGTAGTTGATGAATTGTAAATTTAAATGTAGTGTTTTTTCATTTTGTATATTTAGAGTGTGAATTGCTTTTTGGGGGAAAACTTGATTGGGAGTGTGGTTTAGTCCAAGTTTTAAATGAGCTGTAGAGCCTCCCTGAGGGCAGAGGGTCATACAGGTGGCGGCCAGGGGACGGGACGGATATGTGCAATGACCTACCTCAATAGAGACAAAAAATGACCGATGTTTTATAGTGTATTATTATAGAGTATTATTGATTCAGTGGATTTGTCTGAAGGAATCAAGTTTATAAGTCTTCTTCGCCAGAGGTTAAATGACTAAAGACCAATCTTTATTTGACTCACTAACTGTGCCACAGAATTATGAGCCCACATCCACGCAGCACCAGCCACAAAGAGTGTAACGTTTTGAATGCTCACTTCTTTCTTTGGTCAGGTTCAGATTCTCTTGAATTTTGTCTCTTCTGTTCTGCAGAGGGCTGATCTGTGTGTTGCCCTGAAGAAGAGGGAGCCGCTGGGGAAGCGTCGTTGTACTGAAGGACCATATTGTTAGTTTAACTGATAAGCGATGCACAGGTCAGAAAATAACTGTGAAATACAGCTAAAACACATGCATATATTTCAGTAGCTATTAGCTGCACTGGACACATACACCTGCACTACCTGATACAGTTTTAATTTGTGATGAGATTTTGTGAATGATTTTACGTCTGTGTACTTCTGTCTTTGCAGGTTTTCTGTGACAACACATGGAAGATGATTAAACCAAACTGTCGTTACGTGTACACAATGAATCACTTTCTTATATCAAATGATTCCACTTTAATGTTGCACACTTTTTTTTTTTTTTTTACTTTCAGGTAAGCCATAAATATTCATCATGAATTTTTCTGGGGTGCATGCTTTTATTGTGAGACCAGGGCTGGGATTTAGTCAGAAACATGTTTCTGAGGCAGTTTAATCAAATGTTATGCACATTACAATATGTATGTCACTATGAATGTGAAAATTATTAGCTGTAAGATGAACCCTCAATATGTATTAAAGACAGTTTGGACAATTGATAATCCTTTTCTTTGAGTCTTCCTTTGACGCCTGGTGCAAATGTCCTCCAACAAACTTGTCATTAAAGGATATTATTTTTGAGCCAGTTTAGTATTGACAGACGTTTATCTACAATCCTCAATTGCAAGTTTAAGGATCAAATTTCATTTCCTCAATTGCCAAAAGCTGTCTCCAGCCAAGAAAAACAAACCAATGCCAACTTCTGGTTTGCTTCTATTTCTCTATCACTTCTTTGCTTCTGCTGAAGTAAGCATTCTCACCATGCAAACTAATGCCAGCTTGGACTTTCCCCAGACATGTCAATCTCCAATAGTGAGTCACTTTAGCTTACAGGCTTCCCCGAGGAGGAATCTCTGTTCAGAGTTAATGCAATTATGTCTGAAGCTCTTGGCCAGTGACCAAGGAACCCTGTTTTTCTTCAAATTTAGTTTTGAATTCAACATACAGACACGCATGTTCTGGGGCTTGTTTATTTAGAAACCTCCACATAGTAAAAAGATAAAACAGTGAAAAAAACATGGAAACATTTACATGTATTTGCTTTTTTGTGACTATAAACACAAAGTCTTGATGCTCTCTCACCACTCTTTTTCTATATTGTTAGATTCAATCACTTAAATACCCAGTTCATCTCATAATGGTGAAATCACTTCAGGCCATTCACAGTGAAGAAGAAAATCCTGGCTCGCTTACGCCTCTGTGTGGTTGTTTGTGTCATCAGCACACTCTTGTCTCTTCCAGATCTAGAAACGGTTAAAAATAAACAATTACTACCAAAATGAGCACAATACAAATCTGCAATCTAAGCTTCCTTGTTAGATTCAAAGACTATTTTTGATTTCAAAACTTTGAAATAAGATTCAGATAAAAAAGGTTTTTAAAAGCTGATATCAACATCTTTCTAGCAACACTAATGAAATGCATCATCACAAGTTTTACCAAGAAATTAAAAGGATTTTTCCCCCACTAATTGGAGGCTCTGAAATCACCAAGTTAATGGTTGAAACACCACAGTGGTTAAATTCTATTGCTTTGTTTACTTTTTTTTGTATCTTGACAAAGGGATGATTTCAACAGTTAAATTCATACACATAAGGATGAATGGGTAACAGTGGCTTATTTTTCATATTACAAAAATTGTTCAATCCTCAATAGTCAAAACTATAATCTGACACTGCAACTTTCTGTTCTCTAAACAACTGAAGACATAAAAGTGTGGTGCTGTGAGTGCCATCATATTCAAGGAACTGTGCCATTTACATTTTCCAACACAAAATCACAATGAGTGGGAGGACTTGCCTGGATGTAGGCTTCTGACAACGTGATCATCTGGGGGAGAATGTCGATCACCTGAAGGTCCTGCATCTCGTACCACTTCCCAGTTCCCTGATTAAACAAAAAGATGCTTCAGAACAGATGATCAGCAACAGCATGAATAAAATGTAATGCTCTTTGTAGGTTGTGTATGGTTATTGCAACAAAGAAAAATAAATCAAGCATATTTATTGTTTCAGAAATATCTGCTTGCAACATACGTGATGCAGAACATGTATTCTGTACGCTCCCTCAGTGGGTTTCCCATCATGCACTACGTTGGCGACGAGGTCATAAGTTGTGCACTTCTCTGTAGCTTGAGCTTCTTCTGTCAAGTACTCACGAAGGTCTACGTTCCTGTTGAAGAAATTGAAAAGTGATAATATAAACATGTGCATATTTATACATGAAGACAAAATACACATAACCTACACACTTTTTACAGGAGTTCGCATTATTCAAAGATAACCTCGGTACATCATAGCACAGTCACTTTAAATGAAAGCCTACAAACATCACCAGTATATGTGCAGCACTTACGTGATGGGGAAGTTGACAATTGTTGGGTTCTTTTCCACAAAGAAGTTGTTCTTGGTGAATCTTTTGATGCAAAAAATTAGGTACGGAGGAAGTTTGGTCAACTGGAACCTTTTGAGAAAATTCTCTTTGTAGGTTTTGTATTCCTGAATATAAAAAAGACAGGAAAGTGTGTAGATTATAACTAATATGTGTAATATCTGAGTAAAGAGGATGCAGAGAGTAAACCTTTGCTTTGGGTCTGATTATAAGTCAAAAAATTACAACCCAGATTTAGTTCAGAAGATCTATTAGTAAAGACAACTGCATGGTCACGTTGTAACATTTACAATAATCTGTACCCACATACCTTCTCTGTGCTGCCAGTGAACTTGCCCAGGATGTTGAAGAGAGGGACCTGGGGGATGATAAGCTGCTCTTTCTCATCCTTGTACAGTGGAGCTGTTGGGAGGTCAAGTGTCAGAAACAGGAAGGTGGACTCAGACATCTGTTCCTGGTATTCCTCCGTCACAAGTAATGCCTCTTTCTCCTCCGGTGGCTGGGAAATTATTACAGTTACAATTGAATTATAACAAAAAAATATC